TAGAAGCCGTTCCCGAATCTTGATTCAAACTTTCCACTCAATTTTTAAGCTAAATAAGTTACTACTACCAAACTGGTTTCGATTTGTTTGTCTTTTTTTGTCTGTGATGTGTTGTTACCTGTATTCATTTCTTCTTGTTCTTGTTATTCCATAATGAACCAGGCATAAGATTCTTTGAGGTCTCTCGAGTTTTTTGTTGTGATTCTACATTTGTCAAAACTGAGACTTTCTCTCTACTTTACTTTCTTCGTTAAAACAGATTGAAATCGATCTAAACATACACAAAACCTAGATTGAATTTGTACACTAAAGGCTAAAGATACGAACTTTGCAAGATTCCGAAGTCAAGTGCCATTTCCCTTAAACCTCTCTCAACTAAGTCAACTCTCAGAAGCCAAAAAGGCGATGTTATCATCAAAACGCGCGACTTGATTGTCGTTTTAATGTTCTTTATTGAGAGAAACTTGAAGTGAAGAAAACTCTGTTTCCATTTGTTGAGAACCCAAAGTTTGGGTTTTTGAAAAATGTCGAACACAAACTCTGACTTCCATAGTCGTCTTCTCCGGTGAGTGACTTAGTTCTCTCTCTCTCCTTTGGCCTCTGCTTTTTGCTTTTTTTTTGAAGAACCCTAATTTTTGTTTTGAGGATTCAGATTATCAGAACCAATAAGAGAGATTCTCAGACGAACACAGTACACACCGCAACAGAGTAGCAAAGTATCCACCAAAGATATAATCTTGTCCTTATTACCAAACAATGAAGAAGAAGAAGACAGTCACGCTTCGATCAAGAATCTCGCGCTTGCTTGTGCCCTTATCTCTTCTTCAAGATCTTCAACTCATGAACTCCTCTCATGGATCCCAGAAAACCTCTGTGTTGCAGGGGAATCTGCATTACACGAGATTTCCAAGGATTATTTCAGTGATTTTCCGGGAAATAATGATGAGAAGGTAGAGGAATTGATGGTGGTGGATAGTGGGAAGAAGAGATTGGTGATTGAATTGTTGCCTATTGTTTTGCCGGAGTTGAAAGATGGAATCGAAAAGAGTTCGATTGGTAAGAACAATGATGCAGAGGATGTTTCAGCTTCAATGGCGAGAACACCAATTGGTTATGGTATTTTGGCAGCTCACCAGCTCAGGTGGTTTGTGGCTCAGGTCTGAATCACAAGAATTGGGAATCATTCTGCTCTTCTGTGGACAAAATCTGACCTTTAGGTTCCGTTTGTTTGATGTCTTTTGTTCAACATATTGTTTTGGTAGGTTGAGAAACCGAATTTGGCGAAAATTTGCAATCTTGTGGTTCCTTGTGCTTTGACAGCACTTGATCATTCGTCTCCTGAAGTCAAAGTAAGTCCTTTGAATTTTTCAAGCTTTAATGTGTTTGTCTTAACATGATTCCAAATTTTGCTGGTTAAGCTTTATCTACCTGATAGCTTAAGGTATAGTGAGATTGATGTTCTCTGTTTGTTTGATGACAGGGGCAGGGTATGGTAAGCTTTGTTCATCTCGCTAAAAACGTGAGTTCAGGTGATCTCGGTTTGTATGGAGAAGTGGTTCTTGATGCGTGTTGCCAGAATATAGCTTCCGATGATGAGATTTGGATACATGTTGTTGAGTTATCTGTGCTTCTTGTGACTAAACTCCAGCAAAATAATCCCCGTAGCCCGTGGTAAATCTTTCTTTCTTCTTATCAATTGCATAGCTTCTGAAGATGAAGATATAATTAAAAAAATGTTGCTTTAGAGATCCTGCTTTATCATTCTCAAAACTCAAGTGGGGTATTTGTTTTGCTTTACATCCATTTTAAATCTTTTAGGAAGATCATGTCTTTCGATAGATTGGTTTTGACTGTTCTATCATTCTCAGCTCATTTTTTGGATTTTTTGTTTTCTTAGGCACGAGAGGATCATGAATGAGATGCTTGGCCATTTGGAACGCCAACCAAGAAATAAGGAGCGACGTATCGCTTGGCTAAGATTCATTGAGCCACTCTTGAACGCTCTTGGGCTTTTCTTACTTGCTCATTTTCGACGTATCTTCCCTCTTTTCTTTCAATGGATGCATTCAGATGATGCCGAAACCGTTTTGTTGGTATGCTCTAATTTCAAACCTGTACCTGTCATTTTGTAGGAATGTTATTTCCTTTCTCATTCTGCTATTCTTCTAGATAAAGATGGAAATTTTACTATCTGCAAATACCGTATAGGTTCTTGATAGACTGGAAACGATTGTGAGGTTAACGTGGATTAGAAACTCACCTGTGATCCCAAGGTTTAAAGTCTCTAAACTTTAAAGAGCAGTAACTTATAAGTCTCTCATATCAACTCTTTAACACACCTCAATGATTTTGGGGCTTCAGATTGGTGGAGGAGCTTGTTTCCCTGTACAAAGAGTCATCGATGCGTAAAGAGCGCGATGAAATCAGACCTCTTATCCTCCGTATCTTGATGCTACTCCGCAAGTATGTTTCTATGGCTTATCAAATTCATTGCCAAAGATTGTTCAAATTTGTTTTTATTTTAGCTCTCTCTGTCTCTCACACACACACAGGTGCAAAAGCCTACAGTTTGAGTCAGCGTGGAGCCAGTATCAGGAGGATCCAAATCTGAGCACGGTTGGCAAATATATATGGACTAGCTCGAGTTGACCCGAGAGATCCTCTCGTTCGCTCAGAGTTTTAGGGGTGGTGATTGGAAGAGAAACAGAGAGCAGCTTCTTCACTCTTTTTAAACTTTCTCTAGATTTTGCATGCATGATTCCTCCTAATGACCAAAGACCAGACCAATTCATGGAATTGAAGTATTATTATATCGTAAAATGGTAAATGTAATGTGACCAAATTTACAAAATGTGTCTACCTTATCTTTGAATGGTATAGAACTATACCACAGAAACTCTTGAAAACCTGTACACATTTGAATTTGAAACGTAGAATCGTTGCACATAAAAAAAACTCCATGATCTCACCTTTCACTGTAGTCCAAAACATCATTATAGGTAAGGCTTGGAAGTTTGAACAGACGCTTGCTTCGCCAATTCCACTGGCCTGTTAACACATCCATATGATTACCAATCACTCCGATTACGCGGGTTTCTCCTTCTAACTCTTCCTTTTGTCTTGTGTCTTCCCTGAAATTAAGAGAATATAAGCTCTGTTTTTTTTTGTTACTTTGATGTGAATGAAATTAGTAGTTGAAGTTTCATTGCAAACCTCATGATCAAACCGAACCAATCGCTGTATCCTCTAGATTTTAACTGCTCGATTGTGGTGTTCCGCTCTCTTTCGGGTTTTCTTGATAACAGAACCATTAAAAAGCCATGTGATCTTAGCTTAGAATATAGTTCAAGTACTAGCTTCCTCTTCTGATTCTTTGCTTCTTCAATAGTATAACTATCTTGTTCTAATCTACACAGAGAGAAGAAACTGGTTCATTTCATCAATACAAACAAGTCATTGCCATTGAAAACAAAACACACTGAATTATAAACTTACAGATTGATTTCATCGATATCAATCACAACAACATCGCGGTCATCTTTCATCGGTTTGACGGTTTTGAAATAAGTAAGAGCCATTTGTATAGTGAAGTTTAACTCTCTCAAGTAGATTCCTTGTTTGATTCTGCGTAAAGCAACACCTTTGCATAACAATGGTAACTCAATAGTGTCTTCTTCTTCCAATCCATTGAGCTTTGAGTGTAAAGACAAGATTTTGCAGTAACTGAAACTCTCATGATCATCAAGTAGTCTTTGAACCTCGACGATTCCAGTGTTTCGGTTTTCGCAGCTCTGTAACATTGTTGATAAAGCTATAAGAAGTGTAATAAGCAAAACTCCAAATGTTACAAGTGAAGCAATGAAGATTGTAGCTGTTAAAGATGTCATGTAACATCCAGAATCTATAGAATAACCACTTCTCAATTCTGCAAAACATAAAAAAAAAAATTAAAATTCAAGATCATTTCAAGAACTGATTTAACTTCTAAAATTCAGACCAAAACTATGAATATATATACCGGAATTGTCTCTGCTTGAGAGACCACCTGAGAATTGCCTCTCCATCTGATGCGCATAAGCAGACATTTTTTTTTTTTAACCTTTATGTAATAAAAAAACTTTGATGATCATAAGAACATCATCAACAATAGTTTTAGAATATTGCAGATTTTTATGAAAAATTGTTATGATATTTTCTTTACCTTGTAGAAGCTCCCAAACGAATCTTTATTCGATCAAGATCTGAAAGAAAGAAAGAAAAATCTGCCTCTTGGTCACAAGAAAACAGAGACATACACGTGACTTTTTGTGTAATCTGATCAACTTGATAAGCCAGACATGAATAAGGGAATCTAAACTCAAAATGTACTTAAGAAACCATTATTTTATATGCTTCATTAAAAATGTAAGAGCTAATTGACAGATCATCGAATTCTTAGGATTAAAATAGTATAAATATCTACTTTATATGCTTTTTGGTTTATCCAGTAAGATAAAAATCATTATTTGTTGGTCCAATGATTCTGTTCTACTTCATTTTAAATATAACGTAAACTTAACTATCATTATTTGCAGTGTCGTGCCCAATCTTCCGAGGATCCAATACGATACTTAAAAATATATTTTTTATTTAAATATAATATTTATCATATAAAATATGAAACTTTTTTTTTTAAATTATATATTAGCAGAAAGTTATATTTGATAGTTTTGATGTATCTAATATATATGTTTCATATTTTCTTTTATGAAAACAAAATAATTTACTAAATCAAAAATGAAATAAAAAATATTTAATATCAAAAAGATATTTATGGATATTGTGTGCATATATTCCTTAACTTTTTTAATTAAATTATATTAATTGCAACTATAAAGTTAGACATTAATATAACAATGCAAAAATGATATCAAATGGTTTAAGAAAAAAAATATAACCAGAAAACTTATAATGATTAAAATCTAAAATTATGATAGATACCATTAACCAAAGATATTATTTCTAAACAACAGAACTAAACTAAAAAGCGTACATAGTATTTTTTATCAACTAAACTAATTATATAAAATTTGGGATCCTAAAAATATGGATGTAAAGAGGGTAATAATAGGAGGTTGCCTTTTTTTTAAAGGGTAGGCATGGCCTTGATTATTATTATTTTTTTTTTTGAATTAATCAGATAAAATGTTGTAATGAAATTGCGTGTATTTAGAAGTTTTCTAGAAATGATTTCCTGGAAGAATTGAAAAATCATATCATATGCCGACAAAAAAAATCTTGTCATGTATATCTTTTTTTTTTTGGTCAAGATCATATATATCTTATCTTTAATAATTGTATTGTCTTGTAATACTTCAGGAATTTTTCATCAATATATATTACATTATTGTTAAAAAGTCCCGATAAACACTAATTGATTTTCTAAACAGTAAATGAAGAATCATATGATTTATGCAAGTTCTTTATTTGTTGTAATATTCATTTTTTAAAAGTGACGTGGTCTCTATTTTTACAGTTTCTTAATTTCGGAAACTAGTTTGTTCCAGAGTTTTGTGATCACTCATCTACTAATATTTTCACAGTTTCTTAATTACGGAAACTAGTTCAAATGTTTCTAATATTTCGTTATTTCAATATTCATCTAATATACTAGTCATTACATAAATAAATTAAATATGAGAATTTTTAAATTAAAATATTATTTTTTGAGAAATTGTGGAAATTCAAGACATTTGATCCATAATTTTCTTCAATATTCGCAACCATCCATTTAACACGTAAATCATCTATTTCAAGTGGAGTTAAACTAAGGAGGTGATTGGGAATGAATTTGAATACTATAACTTAAAAAAATAATAACAAAAAGTGAAACTTAAGCCAATCGCACTGCTCTCTTAAAATCACTCAATGTTCCTAAAATTTTTCATAATCTTATTTTTACTTCTTTGTTCTACGTAATGGTATTTTTTTAAAGTCCACAATTTGGGACTTTTCTAATTTTAAAGTTACAGTCTTATTTTTTTTAAATAAGTCACAGCCAACAAATTTAACAGTTTATTTTA